AAGTCGCCTGTAGATATGTCGTCTAATCCCTTACGAGAGATATAAATACATGAATCTGTATCTACGTAAACTGCCCTTTCTTCCACTTTCTCCAAGAATGAATATAATTTTAGTCTAGCTAGGGCCGTGACGTATGAAGCCAATACAACGTTAACCGTTGAAGAAACGTCATACACCTCTTCTCTAAATTCCCAAGTTACGAGAAGGGTTTCTTCGTTTACCGGGAGAACTGTATTTACATGAATAGAAGGATTAGTCAGCATATCAAAGAATTCACCACAGTCTCTGACTATCGAGGTTTTGTTTTGGTTTTCTTTTTGAGCAAATTTACCCCAAAAAGAATTCAGCATAAGTTTAGCTAACGATCTCAAACAGGGGTTCTCTATAATTTTTGAAAATTCCAGCTTTATGTCCTCTGTATCCAAAAATGCATCAATATAACGGTTTTTTTCTTCATCCGTTAAGCAATGTTTGGGCCATCCTGAAGCTTGTTGTTTTATTTGTAGAAACTTGTTCATCATTCCGCTAAATAACCCCTCTTGGTCTTTACTGAGCTGAATTGTATCGTATTCCCATATTTCGTAAGTCTCTATAATTTGGTAACCTTTTTCAATAGCTTTGAGCACCTCTTCTATCACCCAAGTTCCTTTTAGGCTTCTTTCTTGAATAGAATGCTGACACTCTTCTCGAACGAAATCTTCACCACATTTTTGACAGTTAACAAACATCAATTTGTTGTTCATTTTTGACGGTAAAACGGGGTGATATAAGTTCTGGTTCGGTAGAATCTGGCATTTAATAAGTCCTGACATCTGCGACAGAGAGGCTGTAACACATTCTTCACCTACGTAAATTTTTTTTGGATGACCCACCGGAAATTTTCCATATTTACAGATGAAGGGGTACAGGGAACATATATCGACATATTTTATGCATTCATTTGTTTTGATCTTGTAGTATTCAACGATATTTTCTGTACGTCCCCCGTAGAGAGCGTCTCTGGGGTTAATCGGTAAATTGATTATCAATGGATGTGCTTCTGTGAAGGCTCTAATTTCATCGTTTAGCATTCCTCGAAATTGACATTCCCATATCTCAATTACTTCTAGTCCAAGGCTTCGGAGTCTCTCTACTTTGCTAACTGATTGTTCGTATCGACTTTCCAATGTATTCAACGGATCATTATGCAGAGGATTGCTTCTGTTGTATTTGAAACATCGAGGGCAACCGTGAAAATAGCATCCTTGGAATTCAAACACTTGATTTGTGTCGCTACAAAAACCGTCTACTTTATGTCCCTTAACAATGGTTTCTATACCCTTAGCGGCGTGTTGAATTTTGATTCCTCTTTGATGTTCCTCCCACAACATCCATTGGATGGCAATTTTTGACTGATTTTCACGCCATCTATAGCCCCCTTTTGGAATTACCCCGATCGTCTCAGGTTTTAAAAAATTGCGTCTAAAGACTTTGTTACAGCATGATGCAATAGTGGTGCTTTCCTGGAAGGGATCGACTGTGGTTTCGGTTTTCATCAGGTCTCGAAATTTGAGACACGCCTGTGTCAATATTTCCACATCGGAGATACAGTATTCAACGATTTCTTTCTGAAAATCAAAAACGTATCCCTCCGCTTGTCTTTTGCCATGCCATTTTAATAATTTTTCTCGAGTGTCTTCTTTTAAATGGTCGGGATCGTAGAAGTCGAGCGCTGGAATTGGCCCTAGATAATTCTGATGAGCCAAAGTGTTGAATAGATGTGGAAAGTATCCTTTCTTTAGCTCTTTCAAATCAAACGCCTTGGGTAGAGCAGTTAGAGGCATAGGAAAATAATTGAGAGAATCCAGAAATTTTACATTTCCTACCTCCATCAATATTAATTTTGTTCCTCTCATAATTACATTTGGGTACAGACTAGTCTTCTCTAAAATGTAACGAAGTAGAAACTGATGATCAAATCCTCCACCATTATGCGCCAGTACAATGACTTTCTTGAATTTTTTACGAAGTGTCAGAATATGATGCATAAATGGAGAAATGACGTCTTGACATCGAAGAATCTGTAATCGAAGGCCACATTTCTTGCATATAGGATTATCGGTACATGATTCACAACATTGTTTGAATACACATAGATTTGGCTCATGAAGTAAAGATCCGTTGGGTAATTCCTTCTCCTGACGGGTTTCCAAATCGTAAAATATTAATAAGACATCATTTGATTTTGGAATACTTCTGTCAGGCTGTATATAGCACATATGTTCAATTGGTTGATTTTTATAACATGTTTTACAAAGTATATGTCCGCAGATGTGATCATTACCGTTGTGAACTTTAAAACAGTCTACACATCTTTTAATTTTAGAACAGACCGATGGTAAATGAGCGTTAAAACATTCTTGTCCATAAAAGCTTCTATTACATTCTTTGCATTCGATGTGCTTCGTTTTCAGGCAGGCCGGAGATCTTTTACAAGCATAACATTGTTTATCACATCTATGAATTTGTTTATTATTATACGGAATGTGGCAGTTCTCACAAAAATAGCTGCAGCAAAAGGCAGCAGTGAGGGATGTTATGACGCTGTAGTGCCCCTCGTGATAGATTAGGTTAAGCGTCGAACCAGTGGACACGCCTTCAAAAATGACGTCACGACCTTTGCACCCAAACTTGTATACAACAATTTTGTAGTTTTGCAGATATCGTTGTAGCTTTTGAAGTTCAGGTATTCCACACCCCTCCTCAGGGATAACAATATCAGCCTTTTCCACAAGTTGTGCAGCTCTTTGTCCTTGTATTTTTCCTCGATCGAGGCGGATTCTGCTATAATCTTTGTCTTTGTTCAAATGGGCCATGGCGATGACAAGGGCTCGTGGGAGACACAAATTATCGGTGTTTTTAACGGTGATAATACCTCTTCTTTTGGTGCATTCCTCATCAAAAGTATTGAAATTCTGACCTCTACCACGACCAGCAGGCAACCTTATGGACGTAACTCCCAAGCAAAAAGTCTCGGTATTCAACCCCACAGAATTTGACTGATAGATGGAAGATATCTTCTCCCATATGTCCTCATTTGAAACGTCGGAAAACGATTTAAAAGCTATCCACCCTTGACCGCGGGTAAAGTCTTTGGAACAGAAAGTGAATCCAACTTGATCACTGGGCTGGAGATGTTCAGTTCCTTTGGCTACTATTTCCTCCAGAGCGTCTTTGATCCATCCCACAGGTTCGACGTCTTTAGGGATAGGTCGTATTTTAAATTCCACTTCTCGCCCATATAGATTAAATTTTTTAATCTTCTTAGTAGAATCCTTAACGATGAAGAATTTTTCCATTTTTTTAAAAACTAAAACGTTAACTAGCGACTAAATCTGAACTGAGCACGTCTGTTCGCTGTAGCTAACTGACAAGATAATTTGCGATGATTCATAGGTATTTATAATCTCAATTATACCCCCACCACTTTTTAACTGACCACAGTGTTCCAAGGTCACCGCTGGCCGGTATTAACTAGTTGACAGCCTGCGCTCCCTGCCCATTCACCCATGCTTGACAGCCCCGCCCGGTACTTCTTGCATATCACAGCTACGACTACACCGGCGCTGAACCTAACCTCATTTGCGACGTAGGTGATTGCCTTGTTGGAATCTATTAGATACACAATATAGACTGTACTATGTTTTCAATATTGTATCAATGTTAAAAATTAACTAACATTAACTGTATGCACCACATATGAGCAATTCCATTTTTATATGCACACTGAATATGACGTGATGACTATTGAGATCATCCTATACGCATTGTTCTCCGCGAATTTTATACGTTTTTCCAATTAAACTGAATCCGCAGAATTGCATCTATAATTACCAGTATTCATCGGCTTTTATCGATCTATATGCAAATATTTACCGCAAAACATGAAATGAGTCACATCACTTACGCATAGACGTTATACTACACCTTACTATCGTTGGCTGTCTGAATCACTTCCGGTCGGGTGCGGCATCTAGCCCGCCAATCAACATATACCATCAACCCCGTTCAAATTTCCCGCCGTCTGATCCGCCAATCAGAGCACGCGGTGGATCTAGCGGTTCCCGCCAATCAACATATACCATCAACCCCGTTCAAATTTCCCGCCGTCTGATCCGCCAATCAGAGCACGCGGTGGGCGTGGCCAAAGTGGAAGTGGTGGGGGGTGTCCATAGTAGCCCATATTCTACTGACGATGACGTAGATGTAACGAACTTGTATGGTGCGGTTTTTTGTTGCGTCGTTTTATTGTTCAGGGCAGGTGCACTCGAATTTTGCGAAAAATTGTCGCAATATAGTGAGTTGCGGGAAAATTTAAACCACTCCAAAAAAGTGTATCGTTGATTTCGACGTCGATGTCGCATGCGAGATGTTGAATGCGACTTTTGTCACCGATTGTAACTTTTGTGAGGTAATTCTAATTTTGAGACATGTATCCAAGAAACACTTTTCATGGAAAAAAACAATCGAAACGCACAAGCATAATATATGTCAAGTAGCGGCATGTGTTCTAAGCTCACTAGCAAAATTAAGGTTGATTCTTATAATTGTGCAGAAAAATTAGTAAATTCAGATTAGAGTATCGTAGTATTATAAAATTTCTGGCAACAAACGGCCAAAGTCCGAAAGCAGTTCTCGAGAAAATGCTTGCCGCCTATGAACATGATGCACCCATGTTACACAATAAAATTTTGGTCGAAACAGTTTCAGTTGCGATGGGGGCGTGATTCCATAGGAGACGACCCCAGCAGTGAAGGACCTAAAACAGAAAATAATGATGAAATGACATGGTTCTCAAAGATGATCGTGTGAAGAACTTCACCATCAGTATGACATTGAATACGTCGAAATCCAGCATACCAGGGATGTCTTTTAAGTTTTGCATATGGAAATAAAACAACACGGTGGGTAGTTTTAAATGACTTTATCGTTTTCGAAGTATTCTCCATGAAGATTAATACACATCTGCATGCGCTCGAACCAATTCTCGAAGCACTTATTCCACTCGTTTGCTGGCAGATTCAAAATAGCATTTTTGAATGCGCCAACTGCTTTTTCTGGTGACTGGAACCTTTGACCACGCAGTCTGTTTTTAATCTTCGGCAAAGTAAAGAAATCGTTAGGACTTAGATCGGGACTATATGGAGGATGGTCCAATAATTCCAAGTTTCCTTCCGTTAAATACTGCCTTGTTTTTTGGGCTGTGTGCGAGCTTGCATTGTCTTGGTGGAGGATGATTCTTCTTTCGGGATTGATTTTTCGAAGCTCCGTGATGACTTTTGACAAAGAAATGGTGGTATACCAATCCGCAGTAACGGTTCTTTGCTCATTAAGAGGAATTGTTGCAATATGACCCGCTTTTAATGTCGCGACCCTCTTTTTCGAAACACTTCGAGAACTTTTCTTGGCTTTTCTTCACCTTGGAGCACCCAAACAGCCGACTGTCGTTTATTTTCTGGTTCATAACAGTAAATCCACGATTCATCACTACTAACAATGCTGTACACATTTTTTGAGTTTCCGGAATTGAAACGGTTTTTCGACACCAATTAACCCTGGCTGCTTTCTGCTCTTCAGTCAACAGGTAGGATATCCAACAAGAAACTCATTTTCTTACTCCTAATTCTTCATGTAATTTTTTTTTGAATTGAGGTTTTTGAGATCTTCAAGGACGCCTCAATCTCGGGATATGTAACATGTCGATCTTCAAAGATGAGTTTACGCACAGCATCGACGTTTCCCTGGGTTACTGCCGTTTTTGGTGCACCCACCCTGGGATCGTTGCTAAGACTCACCTGTCCACGTTTAAATTCTCCATACCAACGGTAAATTGTCGACTGATGTGGCATCCTTGTTGCAATAATTGTCTCTGAAAGTTGCAATAAATTATGGAGCGAAAATGTTCTCGGTTGAGTTCCATTTTTCTAATGACTTGGTGACACTTAAAGATTCACTGTAGTGAGAACACTGCACGTATTGTTGTAAAACTTTGAATTTAAGTCTACTAAGGAGTGAGGTTAAGATTCAGTACTGACGTTCGATCCGCGCGGCGTACTATGTTTCTATATGCAAAACTTAAAAGACATCCCTCGTAATAAGCATTGTGCTCGGCAATTTGAACATCAGTATGGTGTCATCCACGTAGATTCCACGACTGTTCACACCTGAACAAAAATTTCACTTGTGGAAATTTTAGTCATTTGGAAACCTCAACCAACGATTTTGCTTATCACGCAATTGAACATGTTATATTTGATTCTTTCAAATTGTTGAGATATTTGAAAATCTATCGAAAAAGATTACTGGAATTTGACAACCCGCACATCTGCAACTTTCACAGGTAGAATACCAGAAGAATCTTATGCTCTCATATTTTCTGCTTACGAACTTACTTCTTCAGCTTAAAGAGGGTGATCAAGAATACAAAATGAACTACCACGTTTCTCAAAATTTACAAATGGAATGCCTCACGTATTTTCATATTCTTTCAGTTCCTTTTCATAACCTTTTTTCTGATTCATGGTTCATAGAGGCTGGTGAGACAAGTTCTTATGTTATAGCTAACCCTTTTTTATAATAATATATCAAGGTAAATGCAAAATACTACAATACCTTTCAAAATGGAAACTAGCAATTACTCGGTAACGGCAGATCATTAGAATCAGTGTATTTTCATTATAAACCGAAGCTACCCAAGTTTTATGAAATAATGCCAAAAAGTGAAGAAAGTGTTATTTTCTTTTTAATAACTCAATAGCCAGTCGTCAAATTCCCATACGCCTTATCAGAAAATATCTTGTAGTTCGTTTTGCGTTATTCACCATCCAATATAATCAGTTAAAAAAATCGAGAAAGAGGTATGTAGGGAAGAACTATGGAATCATAATGATCATTGTCACAAAAAAATTCAGTGTACTAGATGTAACAAACGCAGAGGTGTGACTTGTAAAACTGTCTCATTTGGAAGGGATTATCCAAATGTTGCTCTTTTCATTGAAAGAAATGTATATTTGAGTCACCACGAATCCCGCAGAGACATTGATTATCTTACAATTTGTGTATTTAATTGTCTTAAATGCCATGCATAATAACGAAGTCATCGACTGAAACCGCATTAAAAACTCACTCAGTATGTATAATTTTATATGCGATGATATATGCAATAATTCAGAACGTCGTTTATATTGCCACCGATCCATACAATTATCTTTTTTGTTTGTACGGAGATTATTATTCAGACACTGACCGAGAAAGACACTTGAAATATATTAAAGCAACTATCTATCAAACTATTTAAATTTAAAAGACTGTGATACTGAAAAACGACATCAAGTGGTTTTACCCCGTTTTTACGAAATAACAATAAAGTTCAGCGTTTTGAGATATCATCGTACAAAAGGAGTTTGAGTATTTTCAACAAAATAAGCATACGTTTGAGAGATTCCAAGATTTTTGTGAATCTAATGTGATAGGGGTAAAACAAAAAATTATAGTGAATGAATTTCGAACACTTATTTACCCACTTATTGTCACAGGGTCTTAGCTTTGTGAGATCCTGTGGCATGGAAATGTTGATTATGAGATTCAAGGAAGTATTGACAAAAATGACATTGGAAAACACTCTCATCCACCTTTACCTCCTCCCAGAGCAGATATTCATGATGTGAAAACCCATAGTGACAAGTGAGAGTAAAACTAGTAGAAATTGAAGAGGGGAACTGTTGGAGATGAATACGGGAAACTTGAAGCAGAAAGAAAAGCCTTCTTTGCACGAGGCTCGAAGCAGTCTATTATTGGCAACACCTCCAATATTTCACGTATTTATTGCCATAACGATCACAGCTTTCAAAGCGATAAGCAAATATGAAATATCCGCCACGACCAAAGCAATGCAAAAAACCTCATCGTCCCGTATTGTGCTCAGTGGTTTGAGAACGTGAATATTTACCCAACTTTTTGAATGTTATTCTTATCAGAATTTTTTTCCTTATGCACGTCTTGTTTTCTCCCGGAGTGTACATTCAAACATCTCAAGTGAAACATTACTAGTAGAGTACTAGAGTAAAATAGAGATAGAGATAGATATAGAATATTCTGTGAAGGATCCTGCACAATAGGTTAATGGCTTGTTTATCCATCCAATTATCGCAAAGCCTATTGAGTTTGAATCCGCCTGCCTTGCACACGCGTCAATAGCAGTCCTGATTAGTTGGGCAAATTGTATTGTAATTATTCATCAACAATGGTGGGATAGGAATGTGATACTGCCTACTGGTAACATGTGTGGCGATTTAGATGTTGAATCATATATACGTTAAGCCTTACAATGATAGAAGTTGCTAGGGATTAGCTTCAACAGAAGTCTCATGCTTACATAATAAGTGAAACCGCAAAGAAGAGCTGCAGTTTCTCAGTATATCCCAACAGTTAGAATACAGCTTTCAGTCACTATAAATTATAATTCACGTTACTTTCCTACTAGATACCAGCACCCCAATATAACTGCAACTTAATATGAAATTGCGACTTTTTTGCAAAATTCGTATAACGCTCTAGCTAGCTGTAAGCGCTGCCCACATTGAAATTATGTGGTTTCAATGTCATTTGCTAGGCTTGTACCTGCAAAATTGCTCCAAAGATCTTACAGATACATTTAATTTATAAAAGAACGGAATTAGTAGTAGTGAGTTTGAAACTACCTTTCAAATGCCATATAGTACCTCACCATCTGAATCACACAACGGGTCACCATGGGTAGTCTGTGGTACTAACGATGATGTCTTCCTAATGCGAATGTTCGGCCTCTAACTTAACTCCCTACCCACCGACTTGCCACACATAGCAGACGGCGTTCGCCGTTTCATCCTCACTAGGTAACACGCAACCAAACATACCGTTTGACACCCTAGAATGCCCCAGCTGCTGTTGTGTGTGTTATTCTGAAGCATACGGTCTTTATATGAAACTACGAGCATTGATAGCAATAAATGGCAAGAATGAGGGTTCTAACTATTTTTGAACTATACTGGTATTAGATCAAACTACAGATGGATAATGACAGCATTCCTAGGTTTAAATATGTGAGGTGTCCAAACGTTCCTTTGTCTGATAGAATTGAGCCAAACAACATCTGTTGTGCTTGACACTCTGTAAAACATAGTAAGTTGAATGTCATAAGGTGCGAGTGACTATGCTGACTGTTTCCACCAGATGAGCTATTTTGCTGATAAAAAGCCTAAGTCATACGCATATCGTGGCAGCGTTAAAATACCATCATAAGTTCAAAAAAATGATTATGGATTGCAGAATGCAAAATCATATCGAGGTCGTAACGAAAACGAACCTAGTCTCACTTTGTCTTGGTACCGATAGCTTTATATTAGTATGTACCTGCCATTCGAACTCAGTTCCCTTGACGTCTTTCAAAGCATCAATATTTGCCTTGCAGAAACTGATACTAAAATACCTTGGATCCTGTCATCAGAATCTCGTGCTTTGCAAAGCATAAGGTACGTGTGATCATACTTAGTGTTACCACCAGATGGGTTATTTTGTAGGTTATCGCTTCATTGCTGATGAAAAATCTACATATACACAGTTTCCATCGCGGTAACGTCAGAATGCCATCATGAGTTCAAAAAAATGGATTATGGATTGCAAAATGCAAAATCATTTTGAAGTCGTATCGTACCTGAGACTAGGTGAGACTACCTTACCTTGATACCGATAGCCTTACGTATCTGCCATTGTAACTCGATTCCCTTGATGTCTTTTTGTACCGTCAATCTTTGCTCCCCAGAAACTGATATTAGAATCCCTTGGACCTCGTCTTTAGAATCTCTTGCTTTGCAAAGCATACAAAACCGCAAACTTCTGTCATTAAGAAGAGCTTCTATTAAGCCGCGACCCACAGTACGTCTTGATTAATGCCACGCAATTTACTGTAGCAAGTTGGACAACTTGAACAAATAAGCTGCGGTTTCTCCACAACCCACCGCTGGTTTCTCGGCACCGATTCATGAATGTTGCGATGCATTAGCTATTCACTCGGGCTACTTTTTCTGCCGACATCCAACTTCCGGCGCCATCAATTACTGGCTTCTCTCCCTTCCTTCGGGTTATGTAATGAGGTCTGTATACAGAAACATGGGCAACAACAACGGGACTTTGGCTTCCCATCCTAACCGTGTCGAGCTTCGTACATCCAGAACTGGGTGATACGACCGCTGCTTTGTCCCGAGGGTGTCGAGATTGTGGACAATCTACAATAGGAAGCTTATCCCAGTTCCACCAATCTTAGACAGTTCAAAAATCGCATTAACAAACTTTCTTTGGGATCATCATAGCAGCCGCGGTGTCCGGGCATTTAGGCTTCTGCCTGCGCGGCTGCTTCAGTATATAAAAAAAATACCTCTATCAGCGACCATCAAGTAGGCCATCTTATTTTGACGTGGCTAGTGAAAAGTGTCCTAAACCGGTCCCCTCCATTGAAATCCCATTGATGTTGAGTGTAAATAGTAGCTTATATACCTACCTCTGAGTAGTATGTCACGAGTTACATATTAATTGTCTGTCCACGACTAAGTGCTTTAATAGTAAAGAATTGTTTGCATGGTGTTGCAATTATCATTATTATTCCTAGACTTTAACAAGTCAGTGAATGTCAATATTCTAGGTTCGTCTTTATATGTGTAATAATATATATATATACAGGGTGTCCCAGAAGTCGACGTCAAGCCGAAACTGGGTGATAGGCAAAGTCATAACAGCTATCAGAAAAATATTAAAAAAAATTTTATGTATGTGTTTTGAAAATTATAGGTCTTTGAAAAAAATATAGAAATTTCAC